AGTCAGCAGTGCTGGGAACTGTAAACACGCTCAGACACAGCACTCCCTCCGACGCAGCTGTCGCGGGACCGCACTCCTGTTCAATCCTCCCCTCCCTGAGGGTTAGTTCCCAGTTGAGTCCCCCATTTATAGATGAGAAAACGAAGGCACGGAGAGGCTAACTTGTTTAAGGGTTCTCCCATCCAAGGAGGTAATGGACGGACGACATCTAATTCTGAGGGCAGCATTATGTTATCCAAAGGCGTGGCCCTGGGGAGGGGCTCAGTCCGGTGAGGCTGGGTGGCCGCCTGGGCAGCGGCCTGGAGGAGGTGAAATCCGAGGGGAGGAGCGTGGAGAGGATTTGTGCTGGAGGTGGGGGCCCGGAGGGGTCTGTAAGCTCTGCCACAGCCCCCGCCCCACCCCCGCCTCCTGTCCTGGGGCAGCCGCACTCCCGCGTCCTCACCTGGGCCCGCCTGCCGGGATCTCTGCTTCCCGACCTCCAGCCCTCCAGGTCTCCCTGCCTCCGCCAGTGTTCCTGGCCTTTGTGCGCTCACCCCGCCGCGGGAGGCGGGGGGGGGGGGGCGGGGGGTTGGGAGGAGGTAGGGGAAGGGAGGGGGCCCGGACCCGCCCCGCTGCCCCTCCCCCTCGCTCCCCCTCCCACACCGGACGGGAGCCCGCCCCGCGGGCCAGGGGGTTTGGGGCAACCCGAGTCCATGTGGGGGCGCTTCCCCCTGCTGCCCGCTCAGCATCAGCCCCAGGCGTGAAGTTCAGGGGTTTGCCCAACCAATACTAGGCGTCTGAAGCTGTTCTCCGTACATGGTCTCCCCCCACTTGGCCCCTCTGGGTTTTGGAACTGGGGGGAGCGCTACGAGAGAGGATCTAGGTCAAAGCCGACTTTTCTGCTGTCGACCCTGGGGCGGGGGAGGGGAGGTGAGAGCGTTGGCAGCCGGCCTGGCCTTCCTCCCGGATTCAGGGTGGTGTGAGGGGCTGGCAGGGGGATGGCAAGCAGCCTGGGAGGGAAGGAGAGGCCTGTGTGGGTGGTGACGTCCCTTCACACCCCTGCCCCGCCCCCCAGCCCTCTGTCTTCAGATGGCGGAGACAGGGAGGGGGACAGAAAGGGGGCAATGAGCCAAAATGAAGAGGGAGGTGCCAGGGAAGTGGAGCCAGACTATTTTCTAATCATCCACATTTTATGGGAGCTACAGGGGGCCTGAGGCTTCATCTCCCTGGATTGAAACCAGGATGCCCACTGAGTGACCCGGACAGCAGGAATGGGGGCTTTTCCAGATGGCTAGTCCCAGTGGGGCCCTGTACTCCAAACAACTGAAACCTGATCACCCCAGGGCACTACTTTCCAACAGATTTGTTGTGTCACTGCCTCTCCCAGCCTTACCTGCCTCTACTTCCTGGGAGCTGAAAGTCAGATGAAGGCTGGTGAAGCTACCCACTTAGGAAGAACCCCTTTGAGCCCCCTTCAGTGTCCTTAGGTGTCCACTATAGACTCTCCGGAAGCTTCTAGAGCCAGCTCTGGAGGGTGACCCAAGCATAGAGCCTGGAATAAACTCAAGATGAAGCAGCCAGCAGGCCATGCCTGCTAGGATGGGAGGGCTAGGCACCAGGCCTCGGCCCTTCCGCTTTGTCTTCAACCACCTGCATTTGGGTGCGGTGCAGCAGCCACCGGGCTCATCTGCCTTCTGTCTGCCTAGACCACTTTCTGTAGCTTGGAGAGAAAAGGGGCTCAGGAACATGGATGGAGCCGTGGTTCCCAGCAAACAAAGGAGCCAGTCTTGTTGGAATGAAAGTGAGTTTAAAAAAGCTTGCAACATTTGAGAAAAGACCTGAAACTCAATCTCCATCTGAGTGAGATGGGGCAGAGGGGGAAGTCAGCAATGATGCATCTATAATTCCATTCACAAAATCATAGTGCAAAAAAAAAAAGTTTGGGCCACACGAGATCCAGTTTTTGCTTTATTAGACGTCTGTGAAGACAGAGTTTGCAGGTACAATCTCGTCAAGTTGTGAACAGCTGTGAAGTTCTGTGGAGTGTGAATTTATCTTGTAGTGAACAAGACCCCAATGGCTGATATTTTTAGAATAAAGTTCCATGTTCCAAGCAGATGAGAGGTGTGACGTAATGGACAACAACTTTTATACGAGTCATCCACTTAGTCATTTCCCAGCATAAATACGCAGCTTACTCACAGCTACTTCAACTCTACAATGTGAAATTTGATCTTCGACTAATAATGCATTTGGACTCCTGTTTATATTGGCGCATGCGATTCTTTGCCACCCTGGCAATTAACCAGACCTAGACTCTAAAAGCTAAACTTGATCTAAATAACATCCGAGGGGGCGGGCAGGCTCTGCAACCTGGACTTACTCAATCTTCCACTCTGCGTGAGTGCCTGTACGTCTCCTTCTCCCCTGTCTGTCCGTGACTTGTCTGTCATTCAGCATTTACTAATGTCTGCTGTGTACAGAGAAGGCAGTTAGAAGGCCGATCCTTGGACAGGTCTGCTTCCAAAACATGAACATCAGATAATACTCCAGGGACAGCTGAGTAATGGTCAAGACAACAGGCCTTTTAGAAACTTTCTAAGATTAGAAAATGTGTGCACGTGTATTTATCCAGTGTTCTCATTCTAGAGTATTTCCGGGGGCAGGAGGGAGAGGAGGGATGGCCTGGGGCTTCCCTTTAAGAAGCTCGACTACTGGGGCTGCATTTCTGGGGCCAGAAGAAAGTCCGGTAAAGTTATCACCCCTCTCCATCACCTGCTTGCCAACAGCACAGAGTTCAACCAACTCGCTAAAGAGAAAGACAAGGAGACAGCCTCAGTGCAAGGTGGGAAAGGTCTTACATAAGCCAAAAAAAAAAAAAAAAGACTTCACTAAATTACTCACACTTACACTTGATCAAGTGGAACAGCTGGATTTGTGCCCCACTTGATTCCTTCCTGGAACCCTGTTGTGCAGACAACACGGCACATGGGGACCACATCTGGCTGTCAGAGTGACCCAGCTCTGCCCCACAAGAAGAGGCTGACAAGCCTGCAGTTTTCGTAGGTCATCCTGCACAGTCACGTGGCGTACAGAACCAGAATGTTCAGCTCTCAAAGACTGGGCAGGAGAATCGATACATGATTATGCTCCTTTCAATATAAACTGTGAGCCTCTGGGAAGGATGTGAGTGAAGCAAGGTCTGACAAAGCTGTTGATCCGGCTGTTGTCCCTTTTTTTTCTTCCAGAGTATTCAGAGCCTCTGCACCTCTGACTCTTGCTCAGTCTCGCATACACAGTCCATAAGCTTAGTATCGGGTACAAATCGATAAGTAAGCGCAATTAAAAAATGAAGCCATGGGAAATTAAAGGCAGCAATGTCATCAACAAAATTCAAAGAGCATTTTCCTTTTGTTTTTTTTTAACAAAGCACATTGTAGAAATAAAGATTCTGTACAATATTCTAATATCGTATGTACATAAAATTATATTACTTATAACTAAATTGAGAAGTCTTATTTGCAGAGTATGGCTGGCAACACCAAACAAAGACCCAGAACATTTAGCTTTTGAAGCAGAGCAGGCAGCAAGAGAACCCTAGCAAACACACCTCTGTGCCTGGACGCGCAATCCGGCTACAAAGTTAAGTTACGTGACTAGCATTCTCTTGGTCAGTGGTTTGTTCGTGTTTCACATTCTAGCAGGGAATTCTGCAGTAGGCGGTGTGGAAAGACATGTTCAAATGAAACTGGAAATGCTATTTCGAATCTGCATATTGGCTATGGTAATGGGTTTGTGAATCCAGCTTGCCTTCGAAGTGAGTTCCTTAGCTCATCCTCCCTTTGTTTATTATGCATGCCTCCAGGGATTTCAAATAGGAATGAGTTCCAGCAGAGACACCAGTTGGTTCCTCATCTGTTCTTAGGGTCCCTTTCTTCCGACCTTCCTCCTTGGCAGGCCATTCCTGTGAGGGCTAAAAGCGCCAACCCCAAGCCAGGTGGAGCCCCAAACCCATTCACAAAGGGCAGGGTGTGGGACCCCGGTTCTTCGCTTGAAAATCCCTCTCCCCAAGGGGGAGACTACAGGCGCTGGTGTGTGCTTCAGCTTCCAACAAAACCTAAAGTTAGGAGTTCTCAGATTCCCATGGAACCACAGTCCCCTGTGATGTCTACTGAAAATGCAAATGCTGGTCCCCTCCTCCCCCCCCCAAGACCCAAATTCAATTTGTAAAAGGAATAGGGTCCAGAAACCTGCTTTTAAGAGGCACCCAGGCAGTTCTCACCAGGGGATCCACAGATCAGCTTTGAACCAACCTGGCTGAATTCATTAAGTACAAATCTATGAATTCCTTTTAGATACGCCTAAAAAACTGAAGATTTTAGTGAAACATCTCATAGTACAGATTCTCTACCCATGTATCACCAATGTATTCTTTTTGAAATGTGGGAATGCGGGGCCAAAACTCTTTGGGAGATGAGGGGGAGGAGGGAGTTAATTTATAATAATGGACCCTTGTCAAGGTGAGGGGCTGTTCCAGACTCCCAGGCTTGGTGATGTGAACAAGGCAAACTGCAAGCCCATTTCCTCACACAGAAGCCTACTAAGGTTAACTTGAGTTATTTTATGAATTCAGAAATCAGGATCCGGCATCCGGGGAATGCTGTCCCAGCATATGATTTGGGATAAGTCAGCAGCGCCTAAATACCCACTTTGCTCAAAGCCAGCTTTCACCTGCTTAAAAGTGAGGGCATCAGCTCTCCCACTCACTCGAATCCTAGTAGATTAGCTCAGGCGATAGTTACTCCTCACTGAACCTAATCAGAATTGAAATTATGAGAACCTAAAATAGTGCCCAGCGTGGGCAGGCCTCTCCCACCAGCTGCACATGCTCCCAGCTCCCACTGAATCACCGCTTTTAATCACATGATGATGAAAAGAAATTAACTGCAGATGGACAGCATTTTATATTGACTGCCATCCAAAAAACATAAAAAGAGAAGTCTCAAATAGATTAGGGCATCCTAACAGAGATCCGTTCAAAGCAAGCTGAATCGCCGCTGCAGAAACGGACTGACTCCCTTGTCGGGTGGCTGTCTCACCACTGGGCACCTATGAAAACTAGCTGCTCTTCCAGGATCCTCAGATTTCTTATTCCCAAACCTCAATCCCCATTTCCGACAGTTTTTTCTGATTCCAGTGTGCCCTCAAAAGTCCCTAATTATTTCTAGCCCTAGTCGTTCCCACCTTCCCTGCTGAAATTCAGGTGGGCAATGCTGAGGGTCAAGGACAGAGAAAGAACAGTCAGGGTTGAGGTCAGCAGATGCAGGGGAACAGAGTCCAGGGGTGGGGCGGGGGTCGCAGGCAGCGGGGCGGGCCTGTTAGTAATTTAAGAAGTCAATCCCAACCTTGACGCTCTTCGAGGTGGCTATGTCGACAGCCGTGGCCTTGATCTCTGTGTCCCCGAACTGCATGAGGGTCTGGATCTCCCTCCGGGTGGGCACGGCTGTGCTGCTGGTCCCCGTAAGATCCAGGCGGAGCGTGCCGCACTTCTTCACCCCGGGGTCGGTGATGAAGCTCACCTCATCATGCTCACAGCTGTAGATATTGATGACGATGACCAGCTGGGAAGGCTTGGCCGGGGTGTAGCTACGCTTGACCAGCTCCCCCAGGGCCACCGACTGGTCGGCGGAGATGAACTTATCGAAGACGTCGGTGCACCAGCGAGTTCCGTCCTTCACCAGCAGCTTCTCGGGTGGGTGCTTGCCCTCCACGTAGCGGTTCAGCACGCCCACCCCGTATGTGAGCGGCGACCGGCGCACCTTGATGACCGCGGGGTCCAGGCCGAAGAGGACGGCGCCCTTGAGGATGGTGAGGCCCACGTCCTGGGGAATGATGATGCGGCACGTGTCGCCGAAGGCAGCCTGTACCGCTTGCTGCAGGAGGGGCGCCTCTGCAAAGCCTCCCACCAGGAAGAGGAACTTGACAGTGGACACCTCGGGCTTCTGAAACAGGTCCCCTGAAAACGAAGAGGAAGGGACAGCGTTCTGTCACCAAAAGCCAGCCGCCAAGGGGGACTGGTGGCCTTGGGAACGTGGGGAACAGACATGGCTGAGTTGGTTGGGCAGAATTTTTGTAGAGCTTGTCTTTAAAAGAAAGGGGTTTGCACGCCAGTATGCTCAGGAATAAAAACCAAAGCTGCTCGTAAGTAGACACTCATTTTTACAGCTAGATGGTGTTGGTTTTAAGTAGTAATTTGTTAGGCATAAATGAAGACTGCTAACGTTCTCCAAGCCTGTGGTCCTGTTAAGTCAGTCAAGGCAGGCTGTTCTAAAAACTGTCCTTTGGTTTTCAAAGGGGTTCTGATTTGGTAGGTGTGGGGGTGGGAAGTGGATGGGGGGCCGGGATCCTGAGAAAGGTCCCCAGTGAGTCTACCACGTGTCCCCAGTGAGGGCCACTGAGGTAGCACAGCAACTGCATGGCTGGATTCTGTTTGCCCCCTTGCAGGAGACCTTTCTTTGGTCCACATAACTGTCCCTCCTCCCCAGCAGAGATTATGGCTCCTACTGCACCCTGATAAAGCAAAGACTATACATTCCCTAGGCCCTGTCACTCCAGGAGAATATTGCTGCAGAGCTCCCAGCATCCTGACTTTTGGAGTCAAACTCAAGGCCCAGGTGAAGACAGGCTCTGGGCTGCTTTATAGTACCTGAGGGCAAGGATCTGGAGAGCCTATGCCCAGAAAGCTCCCCCATACATGCCCAGGCCCGTCTGCTCCTGCCCAGGCCCCAACCTGTGGCTCCCAGCCCCAGACCCCCTGCCAACCTGACTTCACACACACTAGCTAGTGATGCTAGAAAAGTCAGTCCCCATTCCTCGCTCTGCCCTACTGAGTGGCCGAGCCCTGGCTGATACTTACGGAGATGCTCAATGATGCTGTCAATGGTTGGCTTAAAAAGAGCATTCATGGCATCTGGACTCATCCTCAGCATCCCTTGTGAGGACCACTTCACAAAATCCACGCTGTGGGGGTGTGGCACAGAGAGAAATAAGCAGTGAGTGTGTGAACGGTACCCAGTCTATGTGCACAGAGATGGGCCCTGTCGGAAGAGCTGTCACACTGGAGGGAGCAGAAGGGTTCGAAAGTCCTTGGAAATATCCTCAATTGCCAGAACCTGGACCCTTAGGTGCTCAAAAGCTAAGGCACAGCCTCTTCTGTTTCTCTTTGCTTTGGGCTGTGGCCCTTGGGATGGTGGAAGCCAAAGTCTAGTGCAAAATATAGGGAAAGAATTAAAGGGATCTTTCTCGTTTGAATGACATTTTTTAATGGCACAATAGAATGACTGGAGTCCATTAAAGGCTTGTGTGACGTGTTCACTGTGCTGCTGCATAAGGCTACAAGCCTGGGTGCTCAGGTGCACTTCCTTCAGCCCTCCGGGCACCTGTCCCACGACCTTGTCGAGCCTAAGCCTACCAGGATGCCCCCTTCTCTGTCAAAGGCGCAGAACGCCCAAAGCAATGGCATGGAACAGAAAGAGCACTGGACAGGGAGTCAGGATCACTAGGCTCCAGGATGGCCTCCACCACTCAGAGGCTGCGGGACTTTGGGGCAAGTTGGGCTGCATTTTCTCTGAGCCCCAGTCTCTTGTCTGGAAATCAAGGATAGTACAACTTGTCTTACCCTCCCTCGCAGGGGTTGTTGTGAAGATGAAGTTACATACCACGTCTGTGAAAACACTTTGGAAACTTTCTGGCACTAAAGGAATGCCAGGGACTGTTTACTGCAGCACGTACCCCGCCCATTCTCAAGTTCAAAGGGGCCAAGCGAATGGTGTCTCTGTCCCTGAAGCAAAGCACGCACCAGCTGCTTCCTAGCATCACATTCTAGATGCTGCCAGAGCTCCCCGGCCAGGCAGTCTTTCTGCGGCCTTGGCCAAAGGACAATGTGGCATGGTGTGGAATGACCCGGTGGCTGGCTGTGGCCAGTCTCCAGAAGGAGAGCGGACCAGCCCCAGAACTGTGTGAGCAGGACTTGGGGTTCAGCTCGGAGCAAGCACCTCTGGAGGGGGGCTGGTGAACAGACAGAACATGAGCCTGGTAAGAATCTGGCCACGACCCTGCTCCAAGGGCAAGAAGAGCTAAAATCGTATCTACTTTGTTTCCCTTAAACAGAACCCAGGCTTTTTAGAGAAATGGTTGATTGCAGGTCTGGGATGGGGAACATACAAAACGAGCCAGGAGCATCTTCTTTAACCAGAAGTCAGACCAAAACGTCGTATCAATGGGACTCAGGAGCCAACTTGAAGAGGCTCCTACTGGCCGAGATAGGGCATTTTGACTCTAAATCAGGATACAGCCGCCATGGTTTAAAATACATTGAATATGCCTATATCCGTGAAGTCTTAATGATACTCCCCTTGAGTCCCCACAAAAGAAAATGCATTTGTCACTTAGGAGAATGCCAGGAAATCAACAATATTTTTTTACAAAAAATTTATAAATGAAAGAACCAAGCATTTGTCATGTCTTTCCTATAGGAACTGTACTTCGGGGCAACCAAACCACTGAGGAGAAGAGTTTCTCTCTCCAGAAGCATGCTAGCTAACAAATGCAGAAGGAGTGAGAGACTAAGGGGCCACTCCTTAGCATAACGGACCTAGGCAACAACCCTCCAAGGCTGCTAGCATCTCAAAAGAAGCAACCAGCAAACAGCACGTGCTCCCTGACATGAAGCAAGGGGGAAATACTACCCCCCCCCGCCCATGTAGTAGGCTTGCCAAAAACTTAAACTTGACTCTGACCAAATCTCCAGCTCAATCTGCCAATTTGTAAGAAAATACCAGGGGGCCGAACATGTTACGTGGGCGTGCAATGAGCAAAAATGCCAGACTGGAAGAAACACTATGGGACAATCAGCTTTATCATCTAATAAACCATAAGGAAAAAAACAAGAGGGGGGACCTATATATTAAGTGGGACGTAGGGGCAGGGGCAGATCAGAAAATTGCTGTGTATAACCATCTTTTGGATACTAATGCAAACTGAAAAAAATTATAAGACAATGGGAGAAATTTTGATATTAACTGGGTATTTGAGGACATTGAAGAATGACTCATTTTAAGTGTGATCGTGATAACAGTGTCAGGGTTAGGATTTTAAATTTATGCCCCTTAAAGATACATACGGACATATTTATGGATTAGATGATGATCAGATTTGCTTTAAAATGCTTGGGGGAGGTTACGCGAGGATTTAGGTTGGCCAGGAACTGACAGTTGTTGAAGCTGAATAATGAAGTTCATTTTGCCCAGGAAACGTTTGAAATTTTCCACTCTAAAAAGACTTTGAGAAACCTATGATTTTTGTCTATTAATTTTGTAATTCAGCTTTAAAACAGCTTCCAAATGTTCATTTTGCAACAAGCTGAACTACAAACACTTGCCTGCAGCCAAGAGACTCAGACTAGCAGGAAACCCAGAATCCCACGGGATTCATTCAACAAATATCTACTGAGCACCTGCTATGTCTGTACCAGAATCTGTTGTAGATACTGGTACAAAACACACAAAATTCCCTGCTCTCACAAAGCTTATAATTATTAGTACATAATAAAAGCTAATACAAAAATAGTACTTTCCAGGTCCTGGGCATTGTGCTAAGTGCCTAACATAGGAATTCACTTCATCCTCACGACAACCCTTTGAGGTAAGTGGAAACATCATCTGCATTTTCCAGATGCAAAACTGAGGAACGGAGGAGTTGAGTCACTTGCCCCGGGTCACACAGCTCCTCTGTAGGACTGGAAGTCAGAATCCACACCCCCTTCTTCCCTCCCATCAACATGACCCACCCTCTAGAATGACCTAAGCCATAGGTGAGTCCGACTCACTTGCTCTTCCTCAAGGCATGCTCCACGCTGTGCCCGCGGAACTTCTTGTAGTAGTCAATGAAGGAGAAGGGCAGGGTGATGTTCAGTGGATTTGTTCGGTCCGGGGCTGCTGCCCTTTTACGAGACTCAAATGCAATCATTAAGTCAACCCAGGCCGCGGGACGCTTGATTTTGAATTGTTCGATAAAATCCTCTCCGAATATTTTACACAGAAGTTTTTCAAATTCATAATCTACTCCTAAGGATCCATAGGGTCCACCTGGGTCAAGAACAAAAGGAAAGGCCCCCCCCCATGTTAGAAACTGCCAGAAACTGAATCCAAACTCTGAGAAACAGCCTACCCTGTGTTCTTCTCCAAAACACCAAGTAGCGTGACTTAGACCCAGTTAGCAAAGAGATTGCAGCTCTAAATTTTTACTTAGGCTTTAAAACCCTTAGGTTCTTCTTCTGGGTGGAGAAACTTTTTCCGACAGAATCACCTGTCAACAAGCTATTTAAATTCAATTACATTTTGGGGCGCCTGTGTGGCTCAGTTGTTAAGCGTCTGCCTTTGGCTCAGGTCATGATCCCAGGGTCCTGGGATCGAGCCCCGCCTCGGGCTCCCTGCTCCGTGGGAAGCCTGTTTCTCCCTCTCCCACTCCCCCTGCTTGTGTTCCCTCTCTCACTGTTTCTCTCTCTGTGAAATAAATAAAATCTTTAAAAAATAAAATAAAATGTAATTTATTTTATTTTATTTTTTTTAAAGATTTTATTTTTAAGGCATCATTATACCCAACATGGGGCTCAAACTCACAACCCTGAGATGGAGAGTCGCATGCTCTACCAACTGAGCCAGCCAGACACCCCACAAAATCACTTTCATTTTAAATAAAATGGATACATATAAATAAGTAGGAGCAACACAGTATTCCCACCCAAGAAATCTAAGGACGGGGTCTGAAAATCAACAGGCGCACCTAGACCCCATGATCTGTTAATGACTCATCATCCCACCCCCACCGAGGGAGAGAGCCTGTCGCTTGCTTTGGCAACTTTGATCCATGACCAGGTGTCCCGAGACCTCCCTAGAAAGCTTAACCACAGCACGAGATCACAGGTGACAATCAGATCCTTCCAGAACTTTCAGAAAAAGATTCCCTTGTCCAGGATCTGTAACAGGCTCATTTTATGCCAAAACCCAAGTTACGGTGGTTTGTGTTTTAAAGAACATTTAACTGCATTCTGCTCCTCAGTTCCACACAGGAACGCTCTCGGGCCTAGAATCCCACGTGCTGGTAGCAACCGAGAGAAGGAAGTACCAAGAGAAACCTGACATGAGAGAAAAGGCTCAGGAATGAGAAAATCAGCCATGCAGGGGCTCACCTGTTGCTTTATACAGTTCTTTCAGATGTCCCTCCGGTAACCGTATCTGATGGACGGTCAGGTCTACGGTGCCCCCGCCACTGTCCACGACCACATACTTGTCACCTGGGACAAAGACAGCCATCTTTTACACAGACCGCTTGTCGGCCCCATCGTGAAACAAGCTGGGGGGTGATGACTTGGTATACCCAACGACACCCGTCAACCCTTCTCATTAGCATGATGGTTTTGCAAATTAGTTTCACAGCCAAGTTCTTCGTGACTGAAGAGAATGCAGTAATGTCTGCCCAGGACTGCCAGTTAGCATGGATGGTAAAGAACCCGGATGAGTGGATCCGTAAGACGGAAGCTTTCTTGTGACACCCGGCTGCATCCCTGGCACGTACAAGTGGACAACTTCCTGCCAAGGTTTTAGCGCCGCAAAATGACCTGCCATTTGACACAAGACTTACCCCGGAACTGGAGAGTTCCAATTCCCACTTTTCTTCTAAAGAGTCTGTATGGTTTTATAACATGCAAAGTTATAGCTCCGAAAGAGCTCTCCTTGGGTGGGTGGTCTTTAAAAACCACCTGCTTCTGAACATTTTCCGCACGTGCCAAAGGAACCAACAGGAATGCATTTTTGCCAGCAATACAGAACAAATCCAGCAAGGGCAAAGGACATTCAAGGACGCTACCTTCCTCCAGCTCGGACCAGATTTCTCCTATGACATTCTCCACCAGAAAGGTCCGACTCTGCCGATTACGCCGTATGTGCTCCTTAGCTAGTGGCCGACAGAAAGAAAATGACGGGTAAGAAAGCATGAAAAAGCGGGCAGTCATCTGCAGTCCGTGGAGGCAACAGCATGAGGAGGTTTAGGGACAGAACATTTAGCGACACTTGACCAAAAGGATTACATAAATACAACATTGGGAAACACAAAGCCAGACCGGTTCCACCAGCCTCCATCTCTTCATTGCATGGCAGCCTGCCCTGCGCCCTGCTGGAAAACTCGCCTTGGAGAAGAAGCAGCCCTTCCTCTGGTGACACTTCTTAGGGGTTATTAAATCGACCAGATTCCTGGCTTTGCTGTCCCGGGGAGGAACTTGTCTGCCAAGAAGCTTGCAGTGCACTTGGTTAAACAATTTCACCTCAAGGAACCAGATCTGTCTGATGCCAGGAATGTAGGGGATGTTTTCCTAATCTGGATCCTGGATAAACGGGACTGGAGCCATTTCCCGACTCCGGGGAAGCCAGTATGCTCTTCAGCCACAAGGTGGCGCTTCAGCCATAGGGCGGGCCCTCAGAACCTCGCGAAGCCCTGGCCGCCTTTCTCCTAACGCTGGGGAGCAACAGGGCTGTGGCTCAGGCCACTTAGTGGCTGTGAGGCTTTGTGTGGGGCGACTGCATCCCTCACAGGCCACCCGGCAGCCCTGGGAGGCAGACAGGGCACAGATCATCGTCCTTGTGTTCAGAGGAGGGAGGAAACCAGGTCGGACGAGGTTAAGGGGCTTGCAGTTCCCACAACTCTGTCTTGCAGCTCCACATCCACACTTGGACCATGGGCCCTCATGCCTTTGAGATTTAACAACTTACAGTGAAAAAGCAGAACACGAACATTAAGAGATGAGAAAGGTGCTGTGAGAGGGTATCTGGGGATCAGCAGGGCACAGCCAAGGTGCCCAATTGGGGCAAATCATGTAACCCCTCTGGGCCTCAGTTTCCACATCCATAAAATGGAGATAATAACACTTGGCCTAAGTTCATCACAGGCAGAGCAGGGACTGGTTCTCTGATTTTATCTCAGCACCCAGTGTGATGCCCAGCACACAGGAGGTGATAATGAAGGCAAAGCACCATGAGACCCGGTACCCAACAAATGATCACTACAATGAACAATTTAGAGCAATACCCAATTTTACAGATAAAGGTTCTGTCCACTGCTCTGCTGTCCCATCCCACAACCTTGACCCCCACCACCACCACCACCAATTTTTCTAGTCCCTAAAAACTGGTGCTGCTGACTTTGAATTGCCCTACAAATCCATCTGTTGCTGGTCATCCAATTAAGGACCCCTGGCCCTCTACCCTCTTCTAGCAAGGAGCACAGTGTTTGCAAAACAGTGTCTCCTCTGGGGAATAGAACGGCAAGAGCCGTCAGCTCTTAAATTCTTCAGGCCTTGGCGTTCAGTGATGAGGCCGTCTTGATTAAAGAGTTTCTGCAGGCCTGGGAGGGGTCCTCAAACTCAGGCCCTCTCTCCTGTTCCCAGCACTGGCTCCAGATGAACTTCTATTGCAGACCTTATAGTGGGCATTTGGTTTGCTAAAACAATCTAGGTATCAATCATAAAAAAAATGATCAAGCCAGACTAATAAAACATGTTCTGAGCTCTCAAAAAAAAATAAAAAATTACCATGTTTTTAGGCAAATTAAGCCCAAGATTATAAAAAAGGGGATCCTTTACTGATCTCATGAAATCCTTCTGGTGCAAAAAAATATGGACAGCAACCCTGTGATGCTGGAGGCAAAGGCCAGCCCTGTTCCCCTCAGTAGTGTCCACTGGGCATCCGTCATGGAGGAGCATCAGAGGGCAGAGAACAGCCCGGGGGGCTCAGGGCCCTAATTCCAACCAGGGAGCTCCTGGTTAAGGGCCCTGCCAGGCCTCCCCAGGCAGCGCCCCCTCCTTCTAGGAGACAGGCCGTAACTGTAAAACAAGGCTGAGCTAGAACCCCTGCTTCGCTGCCCCTCTGAGGGGTGATGGCCAACAGCCGGAGGATTTCAAAACCAAAAAAACCTTCGGAGCACAAGACGAGAGCAAATTCCACAAGGCACGGGACACAGACACGGAGCAGTGTGGAGGCAGACAGGGTAAGTTAAAGGAAAGGAACCCCAAAACTGAGCTCTCGGGAAAGGCAAGCATTCGAAAACAGTTTCCCCTTTAAATGTGTGTTACACTTAGGACGTATTAAGAAAGGCTGTGCTAGGATTAGCTAGTTCTGACCTGTGTGTGTGTGTGTGTGTGTGTGTGTGTGTGTGTACGTAGCTAGTTCTGACGTGTGTGTGTGTGTGTGTGTGTGTGTGTGTGTGTGTGTACGTACGTACGTACGTACGTACCAGTAAGAGCGCGCACGTAAGGCAGGAAGGCCAATCGGTCGTGTGTCTCTTTTCCCATGGAAACGATGAAGATAATTTAAATAAATATGTCATTCTGAGTATTTGAAACGTTAATACATTTGATTTAGTTAGCAGGAAGGCTAGCCTTGCCATACTCCGGTGGAGGCCAAGCATTGCCCAAAAAAAGGCAAATCAAGTTGAAGGGCAATGGCTTCCATTCGCCCCAGGTGAGTCAGGTGTGGGGTGCTAGTCCTTAGCCCCGGCAGCCTGGGGCAGCAGCCTGGGGACCGGACCGGCGAACTCTCTGCCACTGTCTTATGGCTGAGGTTCACCGAGTCCTCCATCTCGGGGTGAAAATGCAGAGTGGCGACGTCTGGGGCAGCGTGACCGGGTGAAGAGGAAGAGGAGAATTCTGGAGGAGAGGACGCAGGGCCGTGTGAAGGCGGAGCCAGGGCCCCGTTGCCGTGCGGGAGTGCAGACACAGGCCTCGGGTGTGGGGACCAAGGAAAAGTTGGACCCAGGCTGTTGGGGGAACAGGGGGCGGTAGTTCCCGCTAATGTTCTCCCCCCTCCTCCTCCTCCTCCTGGGCCTTCCAGGATGGGGTGGGCATGGGGATGGGTGGCTTTCTGCCCCGAGGTCTCCTCTGGGAACAGCACCCACAGCACTCCCATCAGTGCCTGTGCTCGCTCACGTTGGTAGCTCTGACCCTGACCTAGGGTGTCTGCACTACTCATAGAGCCCCAGATAGAAGGGAAAACAGATCTGAGGACCAACACTGTGACCAACTTGCATACAGGTAAATGTTAAAGAGGAAAAGTTCCTGCGGCGCCTGGGCGGCTCAGTCGTTAAGCATCTGCCTTCAGCTCAGGTCATGATCCCAGGGTCCTGGGATGGAGCCCCACATTGGGCTCCTTGCTCAGTAGGGAGCCTGCTTCTCCCTCTCCCACTCCCCCTGCTTGTGGTCCCTCTCTCGCTGTATCTCTCTGTCAGATAAATAAAATCTTAAAAAAAAAAAAGAGGAAAAGTTCCTTAACACCCATCCTGGCTGCCCCTAGGTGGGACTCCGTCCCACAGCTAAATGAGCATCAGCCGGGTCAGGAAGACTCAGCCCCGTTCATCTGTATTTTCAACTCTGCCAGGTTCACGGCTAAGACACATAATGAGCTAACCACACACGAAGCAGCCCCAGTGAGTGAGTCAGCAGTAAATCAACAGTCTTAATGGAGGAATTAATAACAGGCAAGTGGGATTAGATTAAGAATCAGTTAATGAACAAGAAAAATTAAGAGCCTAGTAAAATATAAGGCCAAGAGCTGCTCTCGGGCCACCGTCAGCCTCCCCCAGCCCAAGGCACACGGGCAGGCAGGTGATGACCCCGGGGTAACTACTGCAGAGTCTCCGAGGCGCCCTGGGGAGGCCAGGTCGAGGGGCCGAGGACAGAGGTGCTTACAGCTGACCTCTCTGGGGGCATTTTAATTCTTCATTACGGTGCTAAGGGCCTTTCAGTAATCAGGGCCAAGAACCATGCAGGGGTGGGAGGGGAGCGAGCAGGGAGGGGAGAGAGAGAGCAGGAGGTACCCTGTGCAAACCCAGCTCCCACTGTGTCACCGGAGCTGTACCCGTTGACCGCGGCCTTGCTGCTTAGCTCGATCATCTGGTGCAGCCGCAGCTTCCGGCAGTAGATGGAGGCTGCCTCGGGCTCCAGGGCGATGATGAGCTGCTCGGCAGTGTCGGGGGAGGCCAGGCCTGCCTGGAAGACAGAGGCAGGACCACTCTGAGGACGCACACGCCTTGCGCTGACGCCCTCCAGGAAGGGACACTTGGGCTCGGCCTGTCTGGGAAATTCCCTCCACAGACCCCCATAGGGCTTACACTCAGCGGTGATGGGGTGCTGAGCCCCAGGCCAAGTCCCCAAACACTGTAGAGGAGCCAAAGAAAATGTGTGGGTGCCTTTGGGAAATGCAGGGCTCCCTGGGCCCTGGGGCCTCTCATTTGGGATTTGCTTGGCCCAGAACTGAGCCGCATGAAGGGGGAAATGCCCCCAAACTCTGAAAACTGTCAGAAGATGGAAGGCAGGTGGTCTGTTTCTGGTTATGATAGACCAAATGGTCTAAAGGCAGACCCCAATCTTTGGTGGCCCAGGAAACAAATGGGCCATCGCTGGACCTCAGCTACATAAGCATCGGATTTGGCTGTCTGGGAATCTGACGTGCCTCCAGCACACCAAGGAGGGCTCCGGGGCTCTGGGAGAAAGCCCTCCTGGAATCCAACAGAGTCTCACACTTTCTGGAATATGGGTCCAAAGGCAACTCACAGTTACTTTATTCAAAGCTGTTACCCCTTTAATAGCAGACATGCTTCTGCTCTGTGACATCTGGCTTGTTCCAGTCACAGCCCCTTACAAGAGCTGGCCAGGGGGCTCCGGGACCACCCTTCGGAGGGCACGTGGAGACCTGAGCCCGGCATGGCCTCTACCAGGTCCCTGCCCACCTCCCGTGGCCTAGGAACTGAAGCGTGAGGCCTCGCTTGCTCGCTGAAGCCGTTCAAGCCCCGAGGGTTTCCTGGTCGCCAGCACGACGGGACAGAGACGCGCTATGTCCTTCACCACTGTGTTTGCTGTCTCTGTTGCTGTTCCCTAGGGAACTTCGGGGTGCTGCCCTCACGCCACACCCACTTTGGAGGAGACTCTGATTCAACACCAAGCCCATAAGGTGTAGTGGACTCATCTTGTAGATCAGGAGTGAATGGTCTGCCTAATGTCACACATGCACAGTGACCTCTCCAGAGTCACAGCCTAGAGTCACAGATGGAAGAGGCTTAGAAGATTCAGTTATCGGACAAGGAAGGGAGGGGGTTCCGGTTAGAATATTAAAAATGCAAAGGCCCTTCCTGGCCTTTTGTACAACCCCTTCACTTTATGCAGAAAGAAACAAAGCTCAGAGAGGTAGGGTGACCAGTGGTCCTGCGTTTCCTGGGACATGGACTCTCAGTGCTGAAACCCAGTCTTAGGCTCAAATGTATCCATCTTGTACGTGGATGAGCAAGCCCAGACCCAGTCTCAAGTCTCGAAGACCAGCTCTTTAATTGGTTCTTGGTTCTCCTGCTCTCGTTGACTCCAGGTACCAGGGTGGGACCCAGGCCTTTCGACTCGGACAAAACTCCCAGGGTGTCTCTAATGCTCCTCCTTCTGCTGGTTTCATGGTATGATCTCTTTACCCAGTAAATCTGGGACAGCACTAGATGGTATACCACCTCTAATTGCATGTAGACAATTCTCCGTAATAACCATACCCCAAGTGAACCAATTAACTGTGACTTAATGAGAAACCATTGGCAGGCAGGTGACTTAAATCTCCCCCCTGCCAATACCAGATGCCTCACAAGTGGTAGAACCCCTTCTAGAAAACCGACTTTACAAAACCTACACCATCCACAGAAAAACTGCCTCCTTATTGCTTTGTGTCCTCAGCTGTTAGCCAACTACATAGGCAGCATCTATGCTCATCAGTTTGGTCCCTGGGTGCAGAAGGCCTGCATGCCCATCAACAGGCCACTGATCCAGATGCATAACAAGATTTCCCACTACTCCCAACCCAAGGGACTAAAAGTCCCTCTCCCCCAGCCTCGCACAGGGTCACATCCTTAGCAACAAGACAGCTGACACTGCATTGCCCAATGACAGGGAACAAGGTTTACAGACCTAAGTGTCACCAGGAAAGTCGAAACCTCTGAACCTTAAGCCCCAGGATCCCAGAATAAATCCGACATAAAACCAAGAGGAGCCCCCTTCTAAAGGACTGCTCTCGAAGACTGACTTTCCCTCCTTTGTGGGTTTGTAAAGTCAAGGGCCTCCTAGAATAGAAGGTAGCAGGTCCAGCTTTCCAGAAAACAGTGTGGGGAAGAAGGAAAAACTAGCAGCAAAGAAACAACCAGGCCAAAATGTTTAAGATGCTTTTCCAAAGTTCAGAAGGGAAAATAGCCCAGGAGGAGCGGCGAGGAGAGCAGAGCGCCAGGGCCGTGCCGGGGCCAGTGGGAAGGAGGAAAGGCTCACTCCTGCCCTGTGTCCCACTAGGATGTCCACCGGCCAGGCAGTCTCCCTCCACGTGGCCGGGAAGAGCACCGGCCGGCCCGGACCCAGCAGTGGGGGATGGGAGGGAAAAAGAAGAAAAACTAAATGCCTTCATCCCTCTCCACACCTTCCCTGAGACCGTGAGCAGCCACTCTAAGGTAGACATGAAGTATCGGGGTGCCGGGCTGGCTCGGTCAGTTGTGTCTGACTCTTGGTTTCGGCTCAGGTCATGGTCTCAAGGTCCTGAGATCGAGCCCCGAGTCAGGCTCTGTGCTCAGCAGGGAGTCTGCTGGAGCTACTCTCTCTCCCCTTCCCTCTGGTCCTCCCTCTGAGCTCCCGTTCTCTCTCAAATAAATAAATAAATCTTAAAAAAAAAAAAAAACAAAACCAGATGTGAAGTATTTAAACAGAAAGCGAAATCAAGAATTCCAGAGAAGCGAAGAGCATTGAGTACAGTTACACAACTTGAGGTATGTGATTTACACAATCCAGCTTCCCCCTGGGATGCTCCTGAATCCTGAAGACATGAAAGACACACAGGCTGCCCCAAAATGCCCCAAACAGCATGGCTACACCCCTCAGGCGAGGCCTTTCATCTGTCCCTCCCCAGCTGGGTTGGCCTCAGCCCTGCAGCAAAAACTTCGACCCATTTCCACAGAGTCCCCATGGTACCCAGGAGAGGACGCAGATGGGGAGCAGAGGGGCAGAGGACCTCCAACCAGCAAGGGGGGGAGGGGAGTGGGGAAGGTAAGCTCAGTGAGAGGCCCAGGACAAGCTAACCACGCTCCTTTGCTCGAACCAGCCCCCATCCTGCTCACCAGAGAGAGTGAGGGGCCATGTCCCAATAGCAACTCCCATGGGGGCCACAGTGGCGAGCTGAAGGATCGAGGCAAGAAGAGGCAGCGGGCTCTGCCAGGGTCCCTCTCTCCAGGAGGGGTCCCAGAGCTGCTTGTGGACCTCAAGAAAAAGAGGAAATGCAAAAGAATCTGCCAGACGCTCAAAAACTCAGATGTCTTTATCTCTGGGCAGGAGGACCCAATGCCTGGAAGGGTCGGCTTTCTGCATAAATACTTGCAGTTCTTGGCAGAAGCCCGCAGCCTGGCAACTGTCAGGAGCCCTGGGATCAGACCTGGGGCCACCAGAGCAGGGGAGCACTCGCCGCTTTGGCTAGTTCTGCCTCTGAAGCCGGTACCTCGCAGCCACTGTTCCACATGAGCTCTCCCCCTGCTGAGCCCCAGCTCGTCGAGCACTTAGCCTATTCTGTCTCCAACTACAGATCATGCCGACGCGCCGAGCCTCTCCTGCAAGATGCTACTTTCCAAGGGCAGCACACAGCAGGTGCTCGGGGGGTAGCTGCTGAGTGAATGAACCCGCCATCCCTCCAGCCAGCCTTCATTCTGTGATTTCCTGGCCCTTGTCTCCAGAACACTGAATGAGAGCCTTCTGCTGACATGACCTGGGGAGGCTACCAACAGAAAGGGTCTGCACCGAGAACGCACTATCCCATTTGAGTCCTCCAGGAACCTGGGGCAGCGGGAGAACCGCCACAGCCCCTCTGAGAGCCCTGCTTCCTGGTCCTGAGCCCCACTTGGGAGGAGCAGAAAACCGCACTCGAGGAGGCTGGGGACGTGGGCCCTGATACCGACTCGTCTGCCCCTCAGCCCTGCTGTCAGCCAGGGAAGCCGGCCAGGGACGCGTGCACAGCCGTGAAGGTGGCCAGATGGGGGGACGCTCTGCGGGCCGCATGTCCAGCCACCCGGGGCTACAGCTGCACCGGGTCTGGGCGTCAGCCACTGTGGCTGCTCTGTCCCCCCCAGCCCCCGATGTGATTATTTTTCACTGCAGTACCAGCTGTTAACTCCACATCAGGGGAGATCATCCTCCGTGAGGGATCGTCTTTTATTTGGCAGGTTTCCAGAACCCACTAGGGTTACACGTTTCCGGCAAAACACCTCTAGAAATCAACTGGACTATTTCCTACCCACGATGACTACCCCTCAAGACTCAGTGGAACTGTCTCCCATTCTAGGTCTTTCCTGAAGGCCTCAGAAGAGGGATCAGCTCTTCTTCCTGCTACGGGCTGTTCAGCGAATGCTCTGAGAGGGTCTAACGGGGCCCTGCGGCCGTGAATTATAAAACATAGAGACTGAACCCACTTTTTCAACAAGCATTTGACACGAGAGGAGTTTCTGGAGTTTCACAGATAAAACTGTATCCATAAAGTGCCCCGCAACCCCCGCCAACCTCAGCACTGAATCCCAGACTTCTGAGTGGAGGCCCCAGAACCAGCCCCTCCAGGCTTGCCTCTTCCATGACAGATGCTGCTCAGAGCCTCGTCTCTTGCTCTGCATCCAGGCCTCTTCCCCCTCCACCAGGCCAGCGGAGGAATGAAGCTCAGCCCCTATCTGACTGTGCCATGAATTTGGGCTCACGGGGCTGCCAACGGGCCTGAAGGAGGGACTCCATTTCCTGCGTGCAAGCAGGGGAGATGTGACCAGTTTCCTAGCTGCCCTGATGGAGTACCATCCTACCTCATCCTTCCAGCTCTTCCTTCTGAAGCCAGGCTGATGGGCAGCACTTTGGGTGCAAGGGATGGTGGGCATCCTCAGATCTCAGAAGCTGGCTGACCCAAGAACTATGTTTTGTGCTCAGGTTCTGTATTAGCATTCTCCAGAGAGACAGAACCAGTAGGATGTATGTAAACACAGAACGAGATTTACTGTAAAGGATTGGCTCACACCCTTATGGAGACTGACAAGTCCCAAGATCTACAGTCAGCAAGCTGAGGAACCATGAGAGCTTATGGGATAGTTCCCTTGCTGGCAGCCTCAAGACCCAGGAAGAGCTGTTTCAGTCTGAGTCCAAAGGGAGGAGAAAAACAATGTTCCAGTTTGAAGGCAGGTGGGCAGTAGGAATCCCCTCTTATTCTAGGGAGTTTTGTTCTAGTCTGGCCTTCAACTGATTGGATGAGGCCCACCCGCCTTAGGGAGGGCAATCTCTTTATTTAGTCAGTCAATTTAAATGTTAATCTCATTCAAAAATACCCTCACAGCAAACACTCAGGATGATGTTTGACCAAATATCTCAATACCCCTTGGCCCAGTCAAGTTTACACATAAAATTAACTATCAGAGGTACACATTTCTCTTATTTTGTACAATTAATGGAGGATGAGAAGAGAGAATTGAAGAGATGCTAATTCTGGCCACGCTTCATTTCCATATTGTTATGGGGACTCTTCCAGAAGACGAGCTAAAAGATACCATAGACTAGTCGGCAAAGCTGTTGTGCCCCATAACTCCCTTTGCCCCTCTCCCTGAAGTACAAAAGGCTGCAATGAACCACTCAGCTATGAGCAACCTGAGAGTGGGGCCTCATCTTGGTACACAGGATATGAATCCAGCACCAACCATGTCCCAGCACACAGAAGACCCCAGTATGGGTTTGTTTAATGAATAAATGAATGAGTAAACCAAGAATGATTGAATGGCCCCTGCCATCTTGAAAGCCATTCAGTGACTCAACTCGACACAAGTATCAAATCAGAATTACAAAGAGCCAAAAATTAAGCTGCACGAACGCCACACCCATCAGAAGTTACCCAATAACCAAAGGATGGGGCAGGCTGCAGAGTATCTCTGGGCTTCAGTAAGAAAAGTCCCCATGTCCATAAATGCTGGTTACATTCACCCCTCTGAGGTGCCATTTTGATTCCACCAAACCCTGGAGGGCACCACACCTCCATCTGCCTGGTTTCCTCCTCGCCCCAAGAACGAGGGGCCTCCCTGCCAGGCCCCACTGCTCAGAGAGGCAGTCCTTAGGCAGAGCCAGCCCAAGGCTCCAACAGCCCTGATAAATCTCCCCATCCCTGCACCTCTTTCTGTTTCAGGCTAAAAATAAGAACTGACCCTTTTCCGGGTCACATGTTTGTTGCTGCAGTTTTCCTGTGGGAAAACGAAAGTCAAAGCCCTGAATCCTGAGTCTCCTTCCTGTGCAAAGTCAGAATGCTGGCTGTGTCTTCGTAGACAGCCGTGTCCCGGCATCCCGTCTTTGGACGCTGCCTGGAGGCTGGCACTGTGGCCAAGCTCCAGGATGCCCAGGGCTCTGTGGACAGCGAAACTGCATTTGGGTTTCTTCCTTTTTAAAGCAGTTGCCTCTTTCTGGAACTTCCACCCTCTTCCTTCATCCCTATAAAAACAAATCTATTTTTGGCAGCTACGTAGACTGAGCCAGATTCTCACGCTGAAGGGGAGAGCAGAGTAGAACGTGCCACGGAGGGAAGAAGGGGAAGCGGGGAGAGTGGGGGTGGGAGTGGGGCAGGGACACTGCTCGCCCTGGATCTCTACCTGTCACCTGGGGTAAAGCTCCAAGCGGTGAGTACAATTCATGACACCAAGGTACCCATGGCCATTTTGCTGCATTTGGTACCCAGGGTTGATCGGTAGGTATTTTGAAAGGAAAGTTCATACCTATGGCTACAAACTCAACATCAGAGACATGTCCCCCGGGAGCGGTGGCTGTCCCCTGGGAGGTGTGGCCTTGGGCAAGGGAACATCTATTAAGTTGGTGACTTTCCCCAGCCCAGCTCAGGTTGAAGGCTCTGGAAACTGACTCTCATTGCACAGAGTGGGCCCAGGCCCCAGGGTAGCCTTTCATTAACCCAGGGGATTAAGTACAGCGGGAGCCAGCTCTGACCTGGGGGTCAGAATGGCAGGTCAGCACGGCCAGCCATTCTTGCCATGAAGTCAGACCCTCGTGGAAGCCCCATCATGGCACACGTGGCCTGCGGACAGTGTGAGGCTTGGCGGCCATGAGGGTCCATGGTACCAGGGATGCCCCCAACGCCCAGGAGGAACGGGCTGGCCATTGGCACTAGAATGTTCTGTCCATGGCGCCATGCTGACTGGCACACTCCTCAGCCATGCCACTGCCCTCATCCACTGTCTGCCACCACGCAGGTCTGGCGGCCTCACCACCCCCTGACCCTATGTGCTCCCGTGTTACTCACAAGGTGACACGTGTAGAAGATCATTCTATTTCCCTTATGTCCCAGCTGTACAGGTGCAGATTTCAACCTCTATACCAAGCTGCTGCGCTTGGTGCACAGTCATCGGCTTTCTCTTTTATTCCTTTCTTCTTCAAACATTCGTATTGCCTAAGCTTTTTCCTGAGGTTCCATTCACCCACGGAGAAATGTCTCTGTACCCCAGTTTGAAATCCTAGCCCTGGGGAACCTACAGTGTAGAAGGTATAATGCCAGAAAGAAAATTGAGCCCAGCCCAACCCTTATGGACCTGACCCCCATTCCTCCCCCAGGAGGAAGGCTTCATGTCCCCTGGGCCGTGGGAGACCCCTCACTACCTGCCAGGGAGGCCTGAGTGCTGGAGACACCTGAGTGGGGTGACAGTCACCCCCGTGGGCATCCTGGGCCGCCACCCGCCCCATCCCCACACTCACCTGATAGGCAGCTTGTCTCATGAACTGCTTGGCGGGCTGTTTCCAAATGGCAGGCACTGTGATGACCCATCTGACATCAGAGTTCTCGAACTCCGACCCCGCCTGGTCACTCAGCTCCTAAAGCCAAGGGAAATGCAGCAGGTCAAGAGGACACAGCTGGTCCTCCTAGAGCTTCACGGAGAATTCCAGGCTTCCTGGCCATGAACTCTTGGGGCATCTACTCTACAGCCTCTTGAACTTACCGGTGTCGGGGAGCAAGGGTCTGTTTCCTGATTATTCCACAAGCAGGGAGCTCTGCTCCTTTCACTCACTGAACGTGACTGCAAGCAGGAGGCAGGCAGGTCAGAGGCCTTTGGCCACTTCTGAGTCATATGACAGGGCAAGTAACAGCCTCCCAGACCTCAGTTTCCTCATCTGCACAATGGGGATAATAATACCTAGCTCATCCTGTTGTTGGGAGGAGTGATAATTTTCTGAGAGCTACATTTACTGGGAGCTTACTCTGAGGTAAGCGCTTTGCATACCTCATCCCCATTAGTTCCAGGATCCCACTAGGAAGAGATGATAACTGTGTGTCTTTTCTACAGATGGGAACCTGAGTCCTAGATACATGCAGTACCTTCTGATGACTGCACAGCTGGAAAGTAAGAGAGCCAAAATTTGGACCCAGACCCAGTTATATCTTTACTCTAAAGGCCAAGGTCTTAACTAAGTTGTTACATGTGGTTCGTATCTAGAACAGGGCCTGCCCCATAGTACTGCTTAACACCTGGTGGCAGTTGTTGTCAGAGATGTCACTGTCCTCTGCCAGCACGGCAAGGCCAGCACCTCAGGGCAGTTCTCCTAGCAGGATGGAAGGGATATGAACGACATGACCCAAGCAAGAACTACGCTGCCCTTAGCGTTTGGTTAAGATTAAACCACATCAGCAGGAACCACACAGATAAAAGGGATGGGCAGAAGCATCAGAGGTTCACACCAAGTCCATGCAGACAAAATACATCTCTAGAATAGTTCTCAGACTCAGTATTCCCATCTACAAAATGGGGAGAATAAAAGTAACGCTCTGTGGTTCTGGGGAGATGGAGAACACCTGGAAGAAGCTCGCCCAGAGAAGACCTCTGATAAAGCTTGCTCCTTCCTACCCTTCCCCTCCGGATGCCACACAAAGCAGACAAATCTGAAATCAAACCTAAACATGCACCAACGCACGTCTGCATCCGAGTCAGTTCTGGGGACAGGTTTCGGAAGATTAACAGGCTGGCGATTTATTTCTTCTGATAGGTATCTCATTTCCTCTCTTGTTTCAGTAGATACCTTGGGACAGAGCTACCGTGTCACGGAATTAACTTCCTCTGTGATCAGTCAGTAAACTTTTTTTTTTGCCCTTTACATTTTTTTTTAATTGTGACAATAACCCATAACGTAAAATCTACCACATGAAACTTTTTTTAAGCACACAGCTCAGCAGTGTTAGGTACATCTAGTATACTTTTTTTTTTAAAACATGTTTTTAAAAACATCTCTGCGTGAAACAGCGGGTTTTGTTTTATTTTGTTTTTATCATGTTTTATTTTCTTGCAGGTCTGCATTGGGCTTTAAAGGCAGGTGAGTAGTGATGTGTGTTGGGAAGGGTTCTAAGCAGGCTGCAGAGCACCATCCAGGCTATTTTAAACTCTTTAAACAGGAAAAGGCTCAAAAGGTGAATGATGGGCTTCCCTGGCCATAGGGAAGGTTGTTTAAAGCTGTTTGTTTACCAGTGGATGGAGTACAGCTTAAAAGGGAAAGGACCCTGCCATTAATTAAACATCTCATTATGTCAGGCCCTTTTCACTTGCTTTCCTTCATGAATGATGAGCCTGCCTCATGCCTGTGATTCCTGAGATATGCTGCTTTAGTAGATACTCTATTTTGCTTATCCTGGTCCAACGTGCAACAGTCCCCTCCTCTGAACCCATCTGTCCTTCCAATACCAGCCAGCCCTCTCGTGTAGAGCCCCAGTGCTTATAAATCTCCTCAAAAAGCTTTTCTTCATGGAATTTCTTTATAGCATGTTCCCTGCTGGGAGAATGTGCAACCAGGTTCCCGAAGCTTTTGGCTGAGCTGACATGTTCGAAACCACACACCCTCCTACACATCCCTGCTGGCCCTCTGCCCCCTCCATCTCTCCCCTCCCCTTCTGAGATGGGCTGTTCACTCTTTTCCCCTTGACCAACCTGAAACACAAGCCAATGTCATGGACTTTCTCAGGTCCTAAATTTTCCCCAGATCCCCATGCTTCTTCCTCCTAATCCAAAGGCCCTGGAGTCACGGGCCTCCCTCTGCTCCTTCAACTTTCTCCAGATGTCTACAGGCATGACAGGCAGACAGTCCCTCACTGGCTGTCTGGGCTACCGGGTGCTAAGCCCATGTCTCTGAGATCCCTGCTCTTCGGGCTGACAGAGGTCCACATCTCTGCGCCTCCCAGTCTGCCCTGTTGCCGCCTAGAATCATGTGCTCTCCTCTACACTCAGTCTCCCTCCTCCTCCTCCTTCCTTCTGTCCTCTCCCCTCTCCGCCCCCCCCCCCAGTGGAAGAATTATTTCCCAGAATCTACTTCTTCTCTCCGCCCTGGCCCCCTCTTTCTTCTTGGTTTCACTCTCCGAGTCTCAGAGCCCTCAGATGCACCTGCTTCAGGATCTGAGTCTGCTGTTTCCGTAGGGCTTTCCTCCACCCTGCAGGCCCTGGGGATGCTGTGGTCTCCCTCCCTCGAATGCTATCTCTGTGGCCATGGCATTCCCCTATTAGAAATCCTTGGATGGCTCCCCATGACCCAAGGAGTTCATTAGCTTGGCATTTGAGGCTTTGCAAGATCTCGACCCAAGCTTACTGTTCCCACTCGATCCCACAGCCCTGCCCTTCTCTCAACCCAAATTGCCTGCTTTCCAGAGCTGTCTGCTGTGTTTCCTTTCCCCTGAGATCTTCTTGTGTCATTCCACCAGCTCAAAACACCCACCCTTCCAGCTGCTGCCAGGGAGAGGCCCCTGATGCACCTCCTCCAGGGAGCCTTCCCTACTGCAGCCCATTGGGCAGAACCTCTGTCTTCACCAAACACCAAACACCCACAATGACCCCCTCACAACACCGACCTGTTGACTACATACTCCTTCACACTCTGTTTATTTCAATGCTGCCAGAACTATCTGGCACACAAAAAGTACTCCAAAAAGAAGGAGAAGGAGAAGCAGAAGAAGAAGAAGCAGAAGAAGAAGCAGAAGAAGAAGAAGCAGAAGAAGCAGAAGAAGAAGCAGGAGAAGAAGCAGAAGAAGAAAAAGAAGAAGAAGAAGAAGAAGAAGAGGAGGAGGAGGAAGGTGCTTGAATGGATGAAAGCAGTATTACGTTCTCATGTCTTTGTTTCCCTCAGGCCCTATTTCTAGAACTCTATCCTATTTTTAGAGTTCACTAAATTTCTTCTAGTGATCACATAATACCAAATACTTCTAAAGTTCCCAATTCTTTTTGGATAAAGCTCAGTACACGAGGTTCTTTAGGCATCTGACTTACACCCACTCATCACCATGCCCATGGACGGAGACACCGAGTGGACATCTGTATTCCACTTAGAAATCAGCCAGTTCTTCCCCATCCAGGGCCATCTCTGCACAAACTTTGCAACAGTCATCCAAGGGGCTCACTCAGGCACCAGCTTCTCCCCTGGGATCTGGGGGGACAGGGAGGAGGGATGACAGCAACCATTTGCCAGGAGTTTACTGTGCCCGGCTCTGAGGGAGGTGCCTCATGTCTGGTTAAACAACCCACGAGGTACACGACCTGCCCCACTCTTCCGGTTAGGAATGTGGGTGTCGGAGAAATTAAGCACCTCGCCTGAGACCCCACAGCTGCCGCACATGTCTTCTGCCTGTCCTTTTTACTGAGATGTAATTCACATCTCATAACATTCTCCTTTTTCAAGTATACAGTTCAGTGGGTTTTACTGTATTCACAAGGCTGTGCAACCAGCACAACACTCTCTAATTCCGTCACCCCAAAGAGAAGCCCCATTCCTATCAGCAGTCACTCCTGTGCCCTCCCCCAGCCCCCGACACCTGCCAATCCACCTCCTCTCTCTGGGGATTCACCTACTCTGGGCATTTCTTACAATGGAATCACACGGGATTGGCTGGCTCCTTTCACTCAGAGTAACGTTTTCAAGGCTTCTCCATGTGGTTGCAGGCGTCTGTGAGTCATTCCTTTCTACGGCTGACTAATAGCTCCTCGTAGGGATAGACCCACTTAGTAACCCATCCATCCACTGATGGACGTTCGTGTTGTTTCCCCCTTTTTAGTTATTACAAATACTACTGCTGTAAACACTCATAGATGGGTTTTCGTGTGAATATGCGTTTTCATTTCTCTTGGTTATATGCTGAGGAGTGGAATCACTGGGTCATGTGGTAGCCCTGTGTTTAACCTTTGAGGAACTCTCAGACTTCTCGATGGCGGCTGCCCCACTTTCCATTCCTGCCAGCAGGGCACGAGGGTGCATCCTGCTTTCTGAATGTAAGTCCTATGCTTCGTCCCTTGAGGCCCTGCCTGCTCGCCTGGCTGGCAGGTGCGCCTCCCCCTGCCCCAGGGCCCTGGCACGTGTCCTACCTTCAGCGCCTGCTCCTTGAAGTACTGCAGGGCATACGCGAAGATTTCGAGGGCTTTGATTTTCTTGCCGTTTGCTGCCGTTAGGTCTGTATCCATGGTGAGGTCCTGGTTGGGGAGAGGAAGGAACAGTAAGACGACGGAGGAGAGACGTGCCTCGTGGCTTCGGGAACTGCTACTTGGAGATCTGGGGGAGCCAGTGAGCCACATTTCTGTTTCCTGGTATTTGGTAGACTGGGGTAGTGTGCCTTCCACTACCTCCCGCTAAGGGGCCTGGCAGCATCGTCCCCGTACTGTGCCAGGGGCCCTGGCTGTTCCCTTCAGCCCCTACCTCTCACTTTTCCCTCCCTCCCTCTCATTCTCTCTCTCCTGGGTCCTCACGAAGCAGAGGTTTCAGGGAGGTGACAGAGCCCAGGAGGAGGGAGAGGAAGCAGGCACCACTGCTGATGCAGTTGACACACTATTTCCACACCCGGACACACATGGTCACCCTCGGGAGCCCCCCAGCAGAGGCCGAAAGCATCACACCAACTCGCCGACGTGCATGATGCTCAACAGACATGAAGCTTTCATTCCCCGATGAGCTGCCAACCGAGTCGCCAAAATAGAAGAGTTCCTATTTTAAGACCTGTGCTTAAGTCTCTTGGGAGTGCCGCATCACCACCCCCCTTCCTCCGCCAGTAGCTAAAGCAGTCCGGTCCTTGGGTAGAGGATGCCTGTGAGACACTGGCTGGACTGGGGTCATTCAAAAATGACAAGAAAAGTGCTCACAGGGCGGCGATGGGCAGAGAGTGGGAGTGAACATCAGGAGGAAGCCCCCAAGGCAGCCCGAACCCAGAGGCTCATTACCACCAGGGGGAAAAAAAGAAATCAGCCTCCGGATTGATCCAGCTGGCTAACGAGCCTTGCCGTTAGAGTGTGAAGGGGCGCAAAGCTACTAAAGCGGCCTCGTGGAGCCTGTCAGCTGTCCTGGCCCATTGGCACAAGCCCCCCCTTCCCAACTAGCCACCCCACCCCCGGTGCTCAACAAAGACACCCCAGATTTGGGGGTGGGGGCAACTCCCAGGTTCAGAAAGGGGACCAACCACCAGGAAGCCAGAGGGTCAGAACTGAAAAAACTCAAAACGGAAGAAATTCCCATGTTCCACCACACAAGACTGCTGTTGGGCGGTGACGGCCATCAGGTGAAACGGGGAGGATGCATTTCTAGCAGGAACCTGTCTGCTTCACATGGCTGCCGGGTCACCATTAACATGTGTTTTGTCATCTGCAAGCACGTTAACAGCGGACAAATGAAAGCAATAATCATAGGAGCGAGCAACTGACTAGAACTTAGTATCAACACAGCTCTAAGAGCTTTAGGTATTTTGATTCCTTTAATCCTGACACCATCCCCACGAAGAAGGCCCTGTCAGTGTCTCTATTCCACACAGGGCCCAGAAAGGTTAAGTCACTTGGATTAAGCATCTTGCAAGTTTCAGAGGCAGGATTTAAATCTAGGCCGTCTGGTCCCAGGGTCCATGGTCTTAAACACCCATCGCTGCCCTGAACCTCTAAGTACCAAGAATTAAGGAAAGTCTGTGGGATGTAATGCTCACACTGAAAAAAAAAATCCTATCCTGTGATCCAAACTTTTCCATGAATCTTGAGAGAGGGCCTAGCTGATGTAGACAGCTTACAGAACACTGGCATGCTGGGAGTCGAGCCTCCAGTAAACTGGGCACCTGACTTCCTGAGCTACTGCTTCCCCAAACAGAAGGTTTACTTCTAAACTTGTTAGCTAATCACCACTGCCCTGGGTCCCCCAAATGCCCCCAGCCCCCAAGGCCTGCCTTCAGAATCCCCGGATCTCCCAACAACCCAGCAACTGCAGAGGGATCTCCTGGCATAGCAGGGAGCCCCCAGCCCCTCGGCCGGGGTTCTAGCCAGTGTCCACTCTGACCGGTCAGTTGCCATGGCACACACATTGTTAAATATTCTGAATATCTCCCTGCCCATGTGTGTATCAGAAAGTGCCATGTATGCCGCAAAAGTGTTGTGTGCTCCAGGTTGCTTCTAAAATCAAGGTAAATGGATGTTGCTTTCTGCTCGGGAGAAGCCTGAGGGTTTCCCGGGTTGGGAAGACCTCGGGGCTGGAGGAACCTTGGCTCTCCAATGCGGAGGACTTGGGGCCAGGGAGAGGCTAGCTTACCCCCGTGGTATGCAGCTTCATCTTGAACTTCTCCAGGTACAGCCACTGCTTGGCCTCATTGGGATCCAGGTCATGGTAGAAGTCCCTGGCGGCATACCCAAAGCTGTGGAACTTCCTCTCCGGAGTCAACAAGATGGTGGTCGGAGTCTTCTGGTTGGACACCCCAGGGTCACCCCCTTCCCATCGCCTGACATCAAGGAAAGGCAGAGGTTATGAGAACCTTCTTTCATAATCCCAGTTCAGGCGGCACTGACTGGAGCACTTACTGTGTGCACGATTCTTACAGATGTAGGTGCTCACAGGAGCCGCGACAGGCACACTCTTGTTCTGTTGGTTGAGTGGTGATCAGAGACACAACTTCAGTCAGAGAGAAGAAGGAAAGGGGCAAGCAGCAGGGTGTTGCTCAGGAACGAGGTCTGCTTCGACCATCCACTCCATGTTCACTGAGCACCTACTATGTGCCGGGTGCTGGCGACACAGACACGAAACCTTTATGTCTCTGCCTTCAAATAACTCACAACCTAGGAGGTTATGTCTTTCTGTGGGGGCGGGTTTTTTTTTAATTTGCAAGCCCTCAAAACAAATGTATAGCCGGACTGTGTCCTCTCTAAAACAAGGTAGGGTCCAAACAAATACATAAATACCTGCCTTATCACATGGGAATGAGGGACCCAGGAAATGCCCTAGGGGCCAGAGAAGGCAGAGGTGCCGGATGGTAGGGCAAGGGAAGGAATGCAGGGCTAGGGAGAGACTCGAAGGACTGACAGGGAGCTGCCAGGATCTCGAAGGATGGAAGGGCACTGCAGGCTGCTCAGAGGTAGGAGAACATGGGGCTTGTGCGGGGATGCTAAGTGACTGGGTGGGGTGGAGACTGAGTGTGTAAATGGGAAGTGTGAGAAACGAGATTGGGAAGGTGTTTGGAACCAGGCTGAAGAGAACCCTGGGAAGGGAGAGAATTAATGAGTGAGTAACTCGGAGCCCCTACAGGTTGGAGGGCAGGGGCATGGCAGAATCAGAGCTGGGGTTGACCAGAGCACACTGAACTAGACAGGAAGCCAGGAGGCTGAGGAGGAGCCTCAGGCCTCATCTGGGAGCAGAGGCAAGGCGGCTCAAACAAGGGCAGAGGAAAGGGATGGAGGAAGATGAGCTGCCCCGAGGGAGAACCGAGCCAAATGGTCACGGTATGAGCAGGGGCCAAGGCACCAGAGGCCCCCACTTGGGAGCCCAGAGGAGAAAGCCCCCTTCCCAGAAACCTGGAGCCCTGGTGAACCAAGGAGGCTGCAGGGAATGAGGGAACTCCAGGTGAACCTGCTGCCATTGAACTCCCAGGAGGGGGCTGGAGATGTAAGCCTGGGGTTCACAGGAGAGATCCAGGAGGAGAAACAGACTTGGGTGCCTCCATACCAGGGTGACAGCCACGGTGACAAGGAGGCAGAAGAGCCCTGACAGGAGCAGGGAGGTGGGAAGGGACTACTCCTGCAAGGCTGGGTGCTGAAGAGGCCCCAGAAGAGGAGAGAGGTGAGTGTAGACAGATAGGCGGAGACCATGGGAGTCCATCCTGGAGCTGATGGCGGTGGGGGGGGGGGGGTAAGGGAGTGGGGCAGGGAGTAGGTGGAGCCCCAGAGAAGCTTCCTTCCTTCTCTTAGGTAGAAAGGAGAATAGGAAGGAGAATGGAGAAGGCAGATGATTTGGTGCCTCCCCCTCCTCTGGAAGAGAGGAGAAGCTGCATCTGCCAAGGTGGCCAGGATGCTCTCTTCTCTCCCAGGTTCTGACTCTGCAGCACGCTCCCGTGCTGCCACTAGCCACAGGACCACTACGAGAAGCCTCTGGTGGCACCATAGTATACTAGAGGAAGCACGCCTCTCTCCCTGGCCTGCTGGGAACGTGGCTGAGCTCACACCTGCTCCCGACATAGCATCATTAAGCTTCGGTGGGACCATCACAATCCAGGTGGAGAGCCAACCTGGATTTGCCATGCAGCTGGGTCTGGAATCGTCCCTGGCAGGTTCCCAGTCAAGCTCCATCAAGTTGCAGGCTTCTACCCAGGGAGCCAAAGTCCCCATGATGAGCGCACTAAGACCCAGGGATGCTCACCACCCCAGACGCCGGGCACCTGGGTGCGCCCCACATGACCGCTCACAAATGGACTTTCTGTTCCCATTAACAACTGACATTTTCACTAGGCGATAAACCTCCTGAGTTATTTCCCTTCCAATTTTTATTCCTTCATTCCTATTAAAATACATACAAAGAACTGAATTTTCTCAACCATAATTGTGTCAGTCTGTATCAAGGTTAACATGCTCTGATTGAACTAAAATTCAGGTAGGGCCTCCCTCCAAACTCTCTACAAGAATGGAGATGATCTCTCTAGAGGCCTGAGCGCTGCTGATACTGTGTGGATCCCTCCCAAGCAATCTCAATGTTATTTCTGCTCTTCTTCTTTTTTTTTTTTTTCAATTTCACTGCAAGACTATCCCTTTGAAATAACATTTCTCAAAACAACTATGGAGAAGTCTAGCTTTTTACAGCATGCTCTTCTCCCTTCGGGGTTTCCATCTCTCGGGACGGCAGAGCAGACCTCGCAGCAGGTGTCTAGCTACCCAGACGCAGAATCCTGATGGCGACTAGACAAGAGGGCTCTGCTGTCATCGGGGCTCTCTACTAGAACCAGCTTTTCATTATTTCCTGAAGATATGACACCCACAGGGCTCTGGAGCCTCTTAGGACATCCAAACCACGATTGGGGTGGGGGGTCATTTTTATTATGACTTATGTTTTAAGCAGCACACTGCAAAAATGCATAAGATCTTACTCTGGGAGCCATAACTAAATTCCACAATTGTCAGGTAAAGGAGTCGCAAAACCCATCACAATCTATCTTCAGAGCCGTCCTTGGATTTGGAAAATCAGAGTGATAAACTCCTGGTCCCCAAAGCTTTGAGGGGCCACAGACTCTGCAGGAGAGCCCCGCACCAGAGCCGGAGCCCCCGTGGGGGCCAGGGTAGACCAGAGTCCTCGCAGACAGCCCGTCATGCATGGATGGGGAGGGCAAGAGGGCGTTCTAGGCTGCTGTGTGCATGGCGGGGTGAGGTGGAGGAGGGCAGCAGTGTCCTGAGCACAGTGTGTCCCAAGAGACCCCGGGCAACTTCAGGGTGACCCTGAAATTCACCCCGCTCTGCTTTCTGGTTACTATCATTTAAGGACTAGCACCTTCCCTGCTTACATTTTACTATGTACTAAGCTTGGCAGGAAATCTCATTTCATATGCACACACACTCTGTGAGACAGACATTGCCATTACCTCCATTTCACAGATGAGGAAACTGAGGTTTAGAAGGTCCAGCAGTTGCGTGAGGTCACACAGTATGTGGCCGAGCTGACACCTGGACCTCGTCCATCACAAATACCCTACAAGTCAGTACCTCTTCCTCGGGATGCATGCTAGAATAACCCAGGACAGGTTTCAAACACACTGTCCAGGCCCTTCCCCAGACCCACCGAGTCAGAATTAAACCAATGCTTTTACAGACCAGGAACCTGGAGCCCAGAGATGAGAGTGGTTTAGCCAAAAGGGGCACAGGGGGTTTGGGCTGAGCTGGGCCAGAATCTAGGACCCGCCTACTAAATGCCATTCACCCGCTTCTTAAACAAACCCCCTCCCCTCCCCCCAGGGCCCTCCTCCAAGTCTCCACAGGTATAGTGACTGGTGCCCGCACATGGCCCTCCGCACCCACAGCACTCACCTCATCACGTGGATACATTCTGGCTCCTTGGTGAAGCTGTAGGCATAGCCACTGGATGTGGTTCCAAAGTCAATGGCCACCACCACCAGAAACATCTGCTGCTCCGAGACGTTCGGGTCAGCATCATTCTGCAGATGTTCGAAGTAAGGTATGAGGGGGGGGTGGGGGTGGCCGAGCCTGGCCTTCCCGCCTGCTCAGCTGTGCACCCCCTACAGACAGAACTCTGGCTGAAGTGTGCCGCACAGTGAGCCCTACGGAGAGGGCAGGCCAGCCTCAGCCCCCACATGGGTAGCTCAAGGAGAAATGGAGGGCCAGGCTGCCAGCGAGAAGGCACCTGCCCACAGCCTGCCCCCCACCCCCTTTATCAACTGCTTATGAACATGACTAATTGTGGAAAGTCCATCCAGTCTGGAAGCCCAGTGGTTCCTCGAGTGATGCAAACTTTCCCTCACTGCCCTCCCCGAGCTCCTGTGCAGACAATGCCCAGAATGCCTTCCCAGCTGTGGCCTTGCCACAGCCCCAGTGGCCACTCCGTCTGCTCAGGCGTGTTGTGAGTGGGAGGAGGGCTCTGCGTGCCAGGGGCCCTGGCCATGCGATCCTGCCAAGTCCTGTCCCTTCAGGGGCCAGAGCCTTTCCTCAACAACAAGCAAGTGAGTCAGGCCATTCCAGGTTTCCAAACCTTTTTTGGTTTTTTGTTTGTTTGTTTGTTTTTTAAGCAGTGTACTTTTTTTTTATATCCACAGAACTTCACATTATAAACCAATAAATGTCAGGCTTGAAGTGTACTGCTTAGAGCAGGGGGTGAGAGCCCCATCCATCTGGCCTCTCCTCACACTGCCCCCCCTTCCCCCCACACCCCAAGATGACTCTGAAGCTCCTACGGGGACCCCTCAGGGTGCCGTCTGGAAACCCACAGTGTGAGGACCGGGCCAGAGGAGGCCAGCCTCCCAGTCTCCCAGGACTGACGGAGTTCCAGGACACTGAGTGAGGTGAAACCCAGACAGTTCCAGGAAAACCAGGACAAGCTGGTGCCCCCTCCTACAAAGCCACTCCTCCCCGGGGACTTTTCTCTGGTCGGCTACGTGTAAGTCCCTTGAACAGCTGCCCCACAAAAAATCCATCTTCTCAGTGAGGGGTAGGGTGGGAGCAAATGCCCAGTCTGCAGCCCCCTCCCCATCCAGGCCTTCTCTCCCGGGCCGGCTGATGCAGAAGCCAGCCCAGCCACAGGCTTGCAGACCGGACAGTTAACTGCAGTCAAAAAGCCACTGCATTTCACCGATGCCGGGCCCAGAGGTGGCTGCTCCCTTCCGAAGGGACGCCTCGCCGGCTCTAGGTCCTCAGCCTCCAAATGCACCTGCTAACGCACCAAGGCCAACAGCTCCGGAAGCACCAGCCACACCACAGAAAGCCTTCTCAGGCCGAGGGTGGGGAAGGGGCTTGGTGGGCTCACAGGACTAGTCCCGGGACCATGTACTCCCCACCCACGAAGGTGAGGGGCTGCCCAGCAGCCTGGCTCATGACAGCAGATCCAGAAAGCAAAGATCGTCAGCACATAGATACACATTTCTTACCACGATATGGGAAGGGGATAGCGGCGTGATTCCTGTGTCCCCCAGACTCCGGGCTGGAGATGAATATGCAGACGTGGGGGCTGTTTCTGGAAGGAAAGACAGAGGCCCTCCTTAGAAGCAGTGTGGGCTGAGCCAGGGGGCAGGAACGAGCTGTGGGGCTTCCTGCTATGGGCAGGTGCTGTTGTCGCCTGGAAGCCTGAACCCCGCCACACACGTAGTCTGTCCGTTCTGGCACTCCCTTGGGTTTGGTATTTAGAACGACCAAGTGAAACATTCTTTCTCTCCACGTAACCACCAGGCCTCTCACTATGTCCCACGCAACTTCCACCTCACAGAGACACTGCCCGATCCCCACATGGCCTCACCTCCAGGCTTGTGCTCTCTAAAGGGCCGGATCCTCACCTGGGCACCACAATGGACCAGAGGAACCTGTAGCCCCCTGACCAAATGTTTGTGTGCATTTTTTTGGAAGAGATTCCAGGTTCCTTGCCCTACCCTATAGATCAACAAGCCCTATTATAGAAATAAAGGACAAGAATGCAGCTTCTGGAAAGAACTTCCTTGCTTAGTGGACACATCACCTCCTCCCTCCCTCTGGCAGGAGGCCGCATCACAACGTGGGAAACTCCTCTCTCTTCAGTGATCCTGATGGCTCTTGACAGCCAGTAAGAAAAACCGTGGCAGAAAGTCAGGTAGCTCAGCATCCCCGGATCCCGTGCCTGGGGCCCCACAACAGACATGAGGTCAAACCAGAGAAGAGCCAACAGCAAAGCTGCCTGAACATCATTGTGTCGATTGCCCCGCTAGTCTCACAGTTACGCAGGCACTGACATTTGTCCTGACACCTTGCCAGGGCCTGGTGGCCCTCCCCCAGGAATGAACACCCAGGGAGAAGTCACACTGTCCTGCTGGAAGCTCCATGCAGACCTCCCTGCCCACCGCCCAGGACTGGCAGGGCCGGCGAGCAGTGGAGCACCGACGGTGAGCGACCCTGGGCGCGCACAAATCCCAGGCGCTGGCTGGGGTGCTCTGCATCTAGCTCCATCTAGCACACAGCCTACTACCTGGTAGGAAGGAACGGGTAATTTGCTAAAACACACTGGTGGTCAAGGAAACCCAGAGGGTGCAAGGTGTCTGAGAAAGGCCTGTCTGCTTCTAAGGGAGTGTCACAGTGGCCCCATCTGCCCCTGCTGCCATATCTCTTTGGTTAATCCCACACACTTACTGGTTTTTGTGTTTTCCTGCTCGGTGAGAACTCAAATAGCATCATTACCCTGGGTGCCAAATGGGCTGAGGGAATGAAATGAATCACGAAAGGGTGAATGTGAGCCTTCGAATCTGCACAGCCACCCCCACTCTCTGCAGGCATCTGGTCTCCCTCCTCCTGGGGAGGCTCTAGTTCCAACCCCTGGGAGAAACGCGGAGAGGCAAGTACGTACAGAGGCCCAAACGAACTGCTGGGCAAAGGACTTCACCAGACATTTCTCCAAAGAAGACACACAAATGGCCAATAAGCACATGGAGAGATGTTTAACATCATTAGTTATCAAAGAAATGCAAATCAAAACCACAATGAGTTACGGCTTCACATCCACTAAGATGGTGGCTATAAAAAAAAGGAAAGAAAGAAGTAACAGATGTTGGCAAGAATATGGAGACACTGGAACCCTTGTAGATATCCAGTGGGAGTGCAAAATGGTACAGCTGCTATGGAAAACAGTTTAGGGCTTCCTCAAAAAGTCAAATATAGAATTACCATATGACCCAGCAATTCCATGCCTAGGTGTCTACCCAAAAGAACTGAGAAGAGGGATTCAGACACTTGTATGTGCACGTTCACCGTGATATTATTCATAATAACCAAAAAGTGGACACAAGCCAAGTCTCCATCAACAGATGAGTAAACAAAATGTGGCATGTCCATACAATGGAATATTACTCAGCTGTAAAAAGGAAAGAAGTTCTTTTACACGCTACCACATGGATGAACCTAGAGAACAATATGCCAAGGAAAATAAGCTGGACGCAAAAGGACAAGTATTGTCTAATTCCACGTACATGAAATATCTAGAATAGGCAAGTTCATAGAGACAGAAAGTAGATTAGAGGTTACCAGGGGCTGGGAGGGAGGAGGAAGGAATAGGGAGTACTGAGTTTCTATTCTGAGTGAGGTCAAGGGTCTGGAAATAGTAGTGATGGTGGTTGCATAACACTGTGAATACAATTAATGCCCCTGATCTGTACACTTAAAAATGATCAAAAGGGCAAATTTTATGTTATATATACTTTATCAAAATAAGAAATTTTTCCTTAAAAAAACTCAACTTGCTCATCTTAGAGGGAGAGCAATTTCTGATTCCTAGGAGCACCCATGGCTTGGTGCTCTTGAAAAGAGAACAGAGACGTAAGCCCAGCTCCTGGCCCAGCCTGCTGAAGTCCACCCTCTTTGCGAATCTCCCAGCTAAGGGCACCCCCCCTTCCATAAAGTAGGGAGAATCCAGCCTCTCTGCTAGGGAGCCCAGCCAGATGGTCATTCCCACCTGTTGGCAAGAAGTCTGCCCTGCCCACAGCCCCTTGGGCAGCCTGCAGAGAGATGCCATCCAGCAGTGGGAGCCACCTTCCCTCCACCTGCTACCTGCAAGGCCCACGGCCATGTGTCCACATTTGCACAGAAGGTCTTGGAAGACACCAAATGTCTAATTGCCCAGTAAATCTGGTGTTGGCAATTAGCAAACAAGCTATTATCTGCAGACAAACCATCCACCCTGCTGTCTGCTTGGTTCTAATTATCCCATCACTCAGCTCTTCTCCAAGCACGTCCCACTGACTTGCAAAAGAGCGTGTGTTGGGCCACACGTTGAACACGTGCCTTGGGCCCCCAGAGGACTCCAGCATACGTGTGGACAAGAACCAAGGATTTTCTTGGTTCTCTCTGTCCCTCCCTCACCCAATCCCTTGCTGATCACTTAGCTAGGCCTAGAGGCAATTAACCCTCATGGACTTCCTCCATCAGAAGTAAAAATGCAACTGTACCATGTGATACTTTAAAACTGATTTGCATAGAGGCATGGAGGAGTAACATTTTTATAAATGTATGCATATCGCACACGCCCACATCTAGAGCTCTACATATCCCAAATCAAAGATAACTCACCAGTTAAGGTGTACCAATCTCGCAGAGGAATACACAGAGCCAGGACTGACAACTTTGTTTTATTAGCTAACTATTTAGGATGTCCAAGTGGTGCTCAAAAATTCATAGGGAAAAGAATATGGAAAAGGCTATTTCAGGCCCTGAGGGGTATGGGCAATTTCTAGCATGCTAATCATCTCAACCAAGCTGGAGAGCTCTCATTCAATAGGTAAGTAATTAGGAATAAACACAACAGGGTCAATGGAATATTATCTATTGATCTATGGATATTTGACAGATCTGAGATAACAGACAACAGAAAAAAGTTGATATATGGAATGTCTATATGCACAAGGTACCTACTGTGTGTCCTGGCTACCGACCACTTCCACATCGGCCATAATCCACAGTAAGAAATACCAACTGTAACTAACTGTGGACAATGAAAGCCAATACAATAACATGTGCTCTGTGAATAGACCCACCTACACGATATTCCAGTTCAAGGACAGAGGGCCTGAGCACATGGGGGATGGACAAACAAGGCAAAACGAAAAGCCCCACAAGGATAGAGATTTTTAGAGTGCAGGCTTGGGGGCCAGAAAGGAAGCTGATGGAAAGAGAATTGAGACCCATGAGTGGTAAATCAGAGGTTAAAGAAAAATACTCCACCAGAAAGTGTCGTCAAGGGCAGAGCTGAGGGACCTGGGAGTTCTAAGAAATACCTACTCCACTATTCCAGCTACATTAAATAGACACTCACAGCATCTTCCATGTCCAGCCCTATGTACCCCTGAAATGTGGTAACACAGAGGGATCTCATGATTTCACATCACAGAATCAGAAAAACACCGAACGCTTCAAGAATGCAAACAATCAGCCACAGAACGATGGTCAAGCTGAGGAGAAAGAGACCCTGAAGCGTTCTAGTAAACCAAGAGAAAACAACTGTCTGATCTCCTTCGTTATTCGTTTCAGATCATTTTACATCACTTCTGTCTTGTGTATTTACTATGCAGTTGTTGTTGTTGTTTTTTAGTTTGTGGGAATATAAAAATAATTTGATAAGGATTTTTCTAGGTTCACTCAACCCAGGACCCACCTCCCAACACATTCTTCAACCAAGTCACTTTTAAAATAATTTTTGCAGCAAAGAGGGGTATGAAAATGGCTTTGAAGCGAAGTAGAGGATATAAATAAGTAAAAGTCTGACTCAACCAACAAGTGTCCTGCCACAGGATGTTTTTTAGAACCCCAAACCAGATAATGGAGGAGAAATTAGTTGAACCTACTAGGTTAATACTCATCACTTGCCTTAGGGGTGTGAGAATTAAGACAGGTTTCGTCAGGGTTCCTGTTATAAAATGCCAGACATGTGAAAATCAGACACATTTTTATTTGCTCCTGGCTCTAATGGCTTTAATAAAAGCAGAGGTTCTTAAAATAAAAAAACAGTCTCGATAAGAAACGTCTAAGCCAGCCATAATTCATGAACTTGCTTGTCGTTCTCTGCTGGAGACATCAGTCAGCAAATGGCCGTGAGCACAAAATTGTAGACTTTCTGAGATACATAAAACCCTGCTCCATAAATACAACATCTAAAAAAAATGGAGACAGAACCCTTGGGCTGACTTTCTCCCACAAGGCTCTAGCCTCACGTGAAATGACAGGTGGTCTCAACAATGGTGTCTCCCCAGCTTTTCCAAATAGGCCTTCTTTCCAGCTGCCAGATTTATGTATCTATCAAATAAATGCCTGATTTCAAAAGGATTTTTAAGGTCTGGTCCTTGTGATTTAAAAAATGCAATATATATTTTCATTTCTTTCCCCTCCTAGCTGTGAGATAACAGGTATTTGCTGACAATTGCCTAAAATCAGGCTATTTGAGAGAAGTCTCTCTCTCCTTATATGCCTTTCCTGCACTGTCATCTTTGAAAATTGATCA